CCAATAAGCCCACACATCCGATACACCTCTGACGAGACTTTGAACCTTTGTTATTTTTATTTCCTTATGATTTATATATGCATAAATTGAGGGCAATGTATAGTTTAGGTCTAAGGATTATTGATCTTAAATTGATGTTCTTCTATGATTATCAATATATTTTGCGAGTTAATGTTGATGTGTGTTTACATTTTACTACTTTCTGTATTAAAAAAATTGTTTATTTTGTGCTTATGTGAGTTGGATATCCTTTCCAGCTCATGATGACATTATTTGAATTACTATTAGGTTATGCTACTTAGATTCTTTTGAAACTTATCATTGTTAGATTTTGATATACTTAGTACGATAGTCTTTTGGATAGAACAGATTGAATGAGCTTGAATGTAGGTTGTTGAAACCAAAATCTTACCATACGACACAATCCCTTGGCTATTTGAAAGGATAGTTTAGCAGTGGTTAAGCTAACGTTCAAAACTATTTAGATAAGTGTTGATTCCAGTGCTAAACAATTTTGTGGAATGATTTTTTGCTAACAAGTGGAATCTATGTAGGAATCATAAGCTAGAAGTCTAATCCTAGTTATTCTTTCCATCAAAAGTCATTGCATTACTCCAGAAAGAATGATGTAAAAGTATAAATTAAACCGTCCAAAGTTGATTTTATCAATGACTAAGCAAAATAACTACCACCTACATGCTAGATGAGATATGTAAATATAAAACAAATAGAAAAAAAGAGTCATGTAGAAAAACAAATGTCTTCATATTGTTTACATGATATATAAGCACTGACAACGGGGAAAAGCGTTACGCTTTCGGGCTAACCCTTGGACAATTAGAGCATGTTCCATTTATTGTTTTCACGTCATTTTCAGTTTTCAATTTTCGAAAATACTGAAAACACATTTACTTACCTATTTTCAGAAACGAATTTTCAAAAACGAGTTTAAAATTTAAAAAGAAAATGGAAAACGCCAAAAAAATCGTTTTGACTGTTTTCAGTTAAAATTAAGCAAAAACTTTATTTTTTTTTTATTTTTAAAAATAATTTTTCAAAATGACAAAAAGAACGCGTTTTCAACAATTTCAAAATCGACACTCAAAAAACAAAATATAAAATAAATTCAAAACTTAAAACTAAAAACTGAAATACAAGAGAACAACCCCGACTTTGATTTTTAATGATGTTATTAGCCTAGGTAAAGCCTGAAGGTTGAAACACTCAAATCTAGGACTTCAGTTAGTGAAGCCCAATTAAACATGGGCAGAAAAGGAATGATTACTATACACAACCATTATTTCATAAGTACCCCGGATGTGATAATGAATAATAAGCTTGGGGGTATGCATCAATTGAGATACAAAATGAAATATTTGATCATAGAGGTCGGGAAATAACCAACTTTAAACTTATGGTGGGAATTGACTATGCACACTCCCATCGATCTAGCACTCGATAATTAGAAGATTTGATTTTAGCGGCATATGTTAGAAGCCTTTCACGAATTGTTCAAGTGATTCTCAAACTTGAGTCAAAACAGTAGGCTATTTAACTAAATTATTAATATTGTGTTTGGTGTTATTAAGTAGTTGATTTTTCTTGGAGATGAACAAATATTTAAATTTAAGAGTATTTGATAAGTGTGATTTTCACACTTATTCGAACCGTAACAAATGGATATTTGGGAGTCGAGTTAATGGAGTTACTACTTAATTTTGTTAAATATCGATTGTAGTAGGATAAATTCGCTTTTGGAAGATTAATGATGAAAATAAATAAAAATCGACCAAAGAAGGTCTAAAGAAGAAGAATTGTAAAAGTCTAGGGATCAAATTGTAAATCTCTAAAACTTAATTGGACCAAGGATAGACAATGGAAGAAAACGTGGATCAATACAATTAGAAGTTGAAGGACTTATGAGAAATACAAAAGGAGACTCGAGCTAAAAAGAAGAAGAATTCAGGGATTAAAATGGAAGAAAGCAAGAGTTTACACTTTGACGTTGCAAGGTCAAGCTTAGGTACAAAAGCTCAACCATGTGATTGCACAAGGTTCAACCGTGCTCGCATTGTTTAAAATGAAAAATAATATTTGTTTTATTTTCAACTCAACATCTTTATGAAATGCAATTCAAACTCGTTTTTAATCTATTTTTGAGACCAAATTTTGAGAAACCAAACCTTACAGAGAGAACAAGAGGCAAGATATAAGAACACATATTTTCACACGTGAATTGAAGATTGGCCTGTAATAGAGATTCCATGTGAATAATTATCTTAATATTCGTGGAGAATCTCTTCGTGTAGTTCAAGTGTGCTGAAGAAGATTGTTGTATGACAATAGTGAGAGATTATGACATGTTTTTCGTTCATCTATGGTGATCGACACATTCCTTAGCCAATGCTCAGACATAACGTCATCAGAATAATATAATTGATTAAATCAAGATTGACATCTATCCAAACCTCACAATCAGTTAAGTAATATTGGTATAGGGATTATTTATCAACAGAAACTTAACATAATAGTTTTGTAGTACCACGGAATATATTTCCTTGACACATTGTTGCATGTCAATCTTAGATGAAAATGCTAATTAATTAATCTAGGTATAACCTAAAAGAAAGTTTCAATTTATCTTATTTTTATCAAGTCAGAATAATAATTTCACAATGTTTTTTTTTATCATGATGAGAAACCTAATGAGTTATACACAAATGAAATAATTGAAAGATCGGAATCGAGATTGTATATAGTCAAAGTGGAAAATTGTTAGTTTTATGTCTTAGGTACAATCGTTGGCCGGGCCACAAATATTATATTGGACTAATTATTTATATTTCAAAGTTAGGGTGTATTTGAGCCATATTAGTTTGGAAGAGTGTATTTTGGAATAGTAGATTGATTGAGAATGTATGTTTGAAAAAGAAGGAAAAGTCATTGATGAAAAATATTATTTTATTGAAAAATGTGTGATTTAAAATGAGGAGAAGAATGTCAATGAAAAAAATAATGTGGCTCAAACAGGGGTATTAATGAGATTAATTAATTGTTGAGCTTATTTGGACTGGACTATGAATTTTTGGTTGGATAATGATTGATTTTATATATATTGCCTTGGTTAAGAGTGTCCTATGTTTGGAAAACCATTACTGTCGTAATGATTTTTCATGTTGGATCACCAATAATTTGTAAACCGAAACGAAAGTGTACCTAAATCATACATGGTTAATGCAATGAATGAATCCTACAGTTTTAATCTTCCGATTAACACGTTATTCCTTTATTACTCTCTAATGATGGGAGACAGAACATAATGAACGATCACGTATGATTCTGAGACCATAACAATACACACACACATACACACACTAATGGCATGTTAACTTAATTCAGCCCATCATAAAATTAGGAATATGTCTAGTCTCACTTCAAAACCCAAAATATCGAAATCTTATTAGATCACTTTAAACGGGTTTAACCATAAACCATAGTTTTTAATTTAATACACAATAATTCACTTATAAGCCCACATGATCGATTAAAAATCCTTACAATCTCCCACTTATGTTATATTGTTACCTTATAACCGTGCATTAAACATAACCTTATAAGTACTCAGAATTTTGCTATCATTA